ATTGGTGAAATTCTATGTCACGTTTCCTGTGTTTTTGGTAATCACATGATCACTTATGCATAGGTGTGCTTTTTTTCATCACCTAAGTCATTTTAGTTAACAGGTGTGTTGATTGATTGTAAGCACATGTGCCTTTTGTAAGTTAATAAAATAGTGCCCAGTTTGTACTGTAGCTTTGCTTTATGTGTTGTTATAGCTATGTGGACTCGTATTCTTCCCCAAGGAGGCCCCCTCCCTCCTCCTATAGGGGGTCAGAGTTCAGGTTAGGGTTGTCCGAGATGCATACAGCCAGGTGAGTGGTCATCAGTCCAACTTAATGATGCACTGGTCAAGGTGGTCAGTTTTTGCCGACCAATTGCACCACTACTTGTAGTACAGTTCTGTTGATCTCTTTTGAAAATAACAACCAGGTTTGTGCTTTTTAAAGATAACATTTTCCTAAATAGATAGCGTGTTTTTTGTGTTCTATGTATCATGATACTAATTTGTCATTTTGCATTTTTGTTTTTTGCAGAAAGACCTAATTAAGCCTGAAAAAAATACTTGTGTTTCTGCAAACCGAATTGACAGTAAATGTTCCTACCTACTCTGAAATTCTTTAAGGGCATTTTGAAGCAAGAACTAAAATATCAGTTTTCCACAATATAGTCTTGGTGAAACAACAAATACACATATAAGAAAACTCCCAACCAATCTACCCTCTTTTGGTAGATAGGTTTCATCATTCCCAGATAGGTTCCAGCATCCCCAGCAGGAACACATGTACTATTTTTAGGCCTTATATTAAATAGATGTGTGAATATGTTCATAGTTTTTTCTTCTCTTTTGTTGTTGAATTGTTAACTATTTTAGTCATGAAAGGGACAGGCAGATTGATATTACGCCTAATTCAATACAATTACTGTAATTAATAAAACTTAATTTTGTATAAATGAGTTTCAAATTTAGATGAAACGAAATGCATATACGAATTGCAAATTAACTTTTATTTGGCACCTGAAGAAGCCCTAGAAGGCAGAAAGGCCTAGCGGATGATCTGAAAGATTTATGTTTTTATTCTATATATATGCAAGACCACACACTTGTGTTGTTCTAACGAATCAGAAAGCATGAGTTTATTGCGCGAATGAATATATTCACAAGTGCGCAGATCGAGTGTGTGGTCTTGCTTTTATCACATACCTTCTGTATTTGGTAGAGATCAATACAAAGATTTTATAAACTTTGATATTTTTCGCAAATACTGGGAACTTTTCAGTTCGCCATGACAAGGGGATTCCCATAAAAAGTAGTTCCGGCTAGTAGGTAAATACAACATTCCGTGTTGCACATGTGCAATACAGAACGTTGTATTTCATGGTCTGAAAATTGCTTTTATTACTATAACAAGATTCAACAGGTATGTGATAAATATATATATATGCATGTGTAGCATTTAATTAACTATTTACTAGGCATGGTATTTTGACAGAAAAAAAAGAACAACAATACTTCAGTTATGTTCTTGGCAGGTATCTGTGCATGCAAAAGAACAGTCAATGATATTCTGAAAGAAAAACAAATCTGAAATATTTGCTTCACTTTCTGTCATTTACCTATACCTGGCACCCGTTATAAGCATTATATGGTACAAGTGAAACATCCAAATTTCTTTCAAGACGAAAACTGCTAGAAAATATTATCACAAGTTAATTTAAGTAGATATGAACTGTATTGTATCTAGTATTTGATTGGAACTTTCCTCTTCTGTAAACACAATCCTACATTAGTCTCCCTTTTCCCCACACTCCTGCTCTCAAGTTTTTTCCGTGCCCGAGTCTGATCCAATTTCTATTTCAATTTTGTATTCAGTTGAGGGCGCTAAACCAAAATGGTGACTCCCATGAAAGAATTGTCTTGTCTTATCCTGTTGGTAATACAGAAAGCTTAAGGATTTCTTTGTTGCACACAGTGATATTTGTCAGTAAAGCTAACTGAAGCTCTCTCAGCTCAGCTGGAATTTTAATTCCCTTTTCAGTAGACAGGCTTGCATTGTTTCTTCGAACTTCGTTTCATTCCTATTTTGTGAGTGTGTCTCTTTCAGCAAATGACAAATGCTACCTAGGTTTCAGCTTGAAATCACAAAATAAAATAGGAATTAGACCAGACTCTTGGGAAAACAAGACTAAATCATAAGGACCTATTATATATAGTTATCAGTGTGTCTGGTCCCTGTGTCCGTGACATCCCTACATTAACATTTGTTGTATTTTAAATATTTTTTGAGTGTAGAGTTTGATTAAAAGATTTCAAGATCCCGGATCTGTCTTGTGTTTTAAAAGGTGTTTCGTTGTAGAGGATAGATGGCTGTTTCCATCTTCAATTTAGTTTTAAGAAATTATGCTAGTTGTTTTCTTCTTTTTAGCTTGTGTGTGTAGTTTAGACAAACACATTCTAAGTTTCTTTCATTTGAAATATTCGTTTTAAATATACTGGTAAGTTTGTATTCACAAAGAAAACATATTGAAAATGCAACATGTCTGTTTGATAAATTTGTCTTGAAAACCTGTTTTCAAAAGAGACAGTTTGTAAGTATAAACATTAATCTTAACTATTTTCAATGGTTGGCTACAGAAACAAAATATTAACAAATTGAGATGTGCTATTAACCTTACTAATAACACAAGAATCCCCAACCAGCTGATTTTAAGTTGCTTAAAAGTTATCCACCCATATCGGATACAACCAATATTTTACTTACAGGGATGTAGGACCAAAGATGCAAGCTACAAATGAAATTTCATATAACTTAAAAAAAAACTGTCTTAACTGACAGGCGAAGTGTATCAAGTGTAAATGTAGATTGTAACACCATTCAGTTATTTCCTTATACAAATAAACATGTATATGCAGATATTGTGATACCTGTTTCATTGTCCTGATTGGTTAACCTCTGGACATGTTTCATCCAATGAAAAGCATCACTACAAATAGTTGATACTGAGTTAGATCCCAGATGTACAGTATATCAGTTTCCCACTGCACTGTTGCTATAGAAAGTTTTTGTTTATGTGCTGAAAGCGGGTGAAGATGAAATAAAGAAAAAGTGTGTTTTTTAGGTTTTGATTCAAATGTCTTTCAATGGGAAATTTTACAAAAATATTTCAAATTGCTCGTAGCAAGATCAATAAACTATGCAACTTGTTACCATTGATAATCTTCCCTGGTGTAAATTGTTGAGTAGAAATCTGAAATAAAACAATGCTAAGTCTATATATATCACCTGACCCAAACTGCATTAACCCTTTCACCACTGTAGACCATAATGGACTCATCCATATCAATGTATGGTAGAGTCTACTTAAGTTACATAGGGGTGAAAGGGTTAATGTCGATTATTGTATACTTTCGATGTTTCAATTTACCTATCGTAAATGACTCAACAGTATTGTGAAATAAAGTTTGAAATCTTTTCGGTATTTTTCAGAGATGATGACTTTGGCAGAGTAAACAATGGATATGGTACGTATTTGATATTAAAGTTCATTGTTTCTATTTGTTTTATCTCTGGTTGTGAGTAAATTTAGAGGGTCTAACAGACTACACTAAAGTATTGTATGTATTACATGACCGTAGCCTGGGCCATTTGAAAAGGTGGGCAAATTGAAATAGCGTTTGGAAGCAGCAGAATTCTCAGCATGACAGGTCCAGAAAGGCCAATCAGCTGACTAAAACAAAGAATGAAATATCTGTATGGGGCAACTGGTAATGACTTAGAGGGGACTATTGTAAGCTTGCACTTAATATGTCGGTCTGTGCGTCTTTTTGTCTGGGGTATATCTTAAATAATCTGTCGCCTACAATTGCACAATTTTTTATGTGAGTAACAAGTGGGATGAAGTGTTGAGTGCTGCAATGGGATCTATCATACTCCGCTATATACAGAGTTATGGCCCTTTGTTTACTGTGCGTTACTTTGTCTAGAGCACATCTGCCTAAAAAGTTGCCTAAAATTGCCAAATTTTGTGAATGAAATACCAATTAGTATGGTTGAGTATGTGGCATATTAAAATCAGATTTAATATCCAATTATTTATAAATAATGGCCTTTTGTTCAATGTACATGGCTTTGTCCAGGTCATATCTTGTTTACTCTGTTACATACAATTGCCAAATGTTGTGATTGAAGTACCACTTGGAATTGCGGAGTATGGTGTGTTGAAATTGTGTCTTATTTTCAACTTGATCAAGAGTTATGACCCTTTGTTCATTTTTCGATACTGAAGTTTGTCCCTAGGATTACTAGGTATATATTGGCTTGTTTTTAATAATATTTGATGGTTCACATTTTGAATGTTAACTGCTAATAATGTCATGCAGTAACATGTACTTCAATGTTTCTTTGATCTTGATCAAGTAACTTGTATCTATCAATGATCAAGGAAACATTTCTGTTTTTGAATACAGAAAAAAACCTGTTCTATATTTCATAGCTTAAACATTCCAAGGTTGAGAAATCTAGAAATCTGCACTTTAACACTGCGCAATATTTGATTAAAGCTACAGTATAAACCATCAAATAGATAGGATAGATTTCCCAGGCACGAGATACAAAAAGTAGAGTTGATATTTTATAACTTGTTTACATTTACATAGAATCTATTAGCCTACTCATCCGTATCAATCACTTTGATTAATATATCGTACCCAACGTCTCTGCATTTGAGAGGATAGCCAGTCAATGAAACGAACTACGTTATTGTACCTCTGTAGTTTTCCCCAGGTAGTCAATGTTTTGTATATTTTGGTAGTGATCTTGACCTAGAATTTAAGTGGATTTACAGTGCATGTTAAACTCAGTTAATTATCTTTCCTAAAAAGTGACGTCCTATCTGTACTGAGTCCTATCTGTACTGATCACTTACCGTGTGATGCAACTGGCTGCATATTTTGTTGTATACAAGGCAAGTTAAAACGAAACTTGTGTTTCGTTGCACAACGAAAGCACTTCCTTTAATACAGAATACTATATGAACACTGTAACCATGCATGCTGCGGAATGAAATCTGATAATACACAGGAAACTTACATTCTTTTCTGTGTACAGAGGTAATGGAGTGTGTCAGGCCAGTAAATATCTTGCTGTAAGGTAGATTAGTGGTGTACAGTGTTCGTCAGGAGCTGAAGGCAACACTTCTGTCTTAGTATTACTACTGCTAAGTGGAGAATTCAGTTTTGTATAATAGATTTAGTGAAGGAGAAAGTGGAGGATTACTTTACAGCTGAAGCATATCAGCCTAACAAGTTTTGATGCAAAATTATCAGAATTCTTAACAGACAATGCATCATGTACAGATTTAAAACGATGAGCCAAGGAACGGAAACTTAAAAATATTCCACTATTTCCAAAAGTTTTGAAAAAAGTGTTCTACCATTTGGAGTTAAGAAGTTATAAAACTAACGAGGCTGTGGAGATATGTGAACAGATGTGTTGCTCTGTAGCAATGATAGTCGGAGGAATGTAAAACCACAGGGTTGACATAGCAACTTTGTTCACAGGGATTTGTTTTATCACCCCTTCCAGGCTATATACACTTGGATTAAAGGTAGGTTTAGGAAGGTGAAAGGCTGCATATTCATCTACAGTAAATTCTGCTGCAGGTATTTTAAGGTAGATACAGAAAGGAATGTGCATTATGTGTGTGATGTGTAACATGGAAAAAAATAGTATGTTAAGATCGTGAGACATATAGAATACAGTCCATGATCAAGTTTTAGAGGCGATTACTGAATGAAATGCATAGGATGGTTAACATTGTGTTACCTTTTTAATGTGCATATTATATATACTTGAATTTTTTTAATGGGTTGAAGATTTATTTTTTCGACAAATTCTCATTCAATTTTGTTTCTGCAGTTATAGACCCGGATGTATGTTTTACAAATAAACTTCAATGCAAATCATTGATGCGACACAAAAAGAAAAATTTGGGAATATGAATAATTCATAAAGGTGAAGGATCGACACTATGTTGGTATCAAAGCAATGCTACATTGTTCCACTGAAAGCTAACAAAGAATATCGTAGGAATTGTTACCTTAAACATTTATATAGGTCAACTTCCTACAATATGATATCTGTGTAAAAATTTAAATATTTTGAACACACCAGTACTGTAGATCTGGTGTATTGTATATATATACCAGTACTGTAGATCTGGTGTATTGTATATATATACCTGTACTGTTGGCTTGATCTTACTTCAAAACTTAAACTTTAATCCTATATGATCAATTTATCTTGTGTACATCTAGCATGACAAGTACAGTAAAAACTAGCTAGACTAATTTGCAAACTTACGTAATTTGTACCGGTAAATTTTGAGCTGAGACTAAGATACAAATACTGCACACGTACATACCGGTATAAATAATCCTTCAAGTTTTACATTTGTTTGTCAACTGACTTAGGATAGAACTGATGATATAGTATATATACATGTCAAAGTGTAGACACAACCAAATCTCAATAATGTTCACCAGATTTTCAATTCAAATAATTTTATGATGGTAAGAAAAGTGAATTAAATAATGGATTATAGATTACAATTATTTATTTTATTATTAGGAATTTCAAATAAAAAAAACTGAGAATCAAATTTTTTTCTTAAGGGAAACTAACTTGTTCTAAAATTTCTGATAGGCTTAGTTCAAAAATTGAACTGAAACTCTACCTACCATATACCTGGTTAAGTAGCGACTGAGGATAGTCAAAGAAATCTGGGTCATCTGTATAGGTCGTAATTGATCCAACACACACTGGGTATATGTTGAAATAAAACTCTTATTCTATTCTATTGCTTGTGAGCTTAGTTCGGGGCAGGCCACACATTCAGGTACAGGCCATGAATTCAGGTCATCTTCTGGATTCCTATTGTGAGAATCGTGTGCCTAGATCTAAAATACCTGAAGTGTAAATGAAAGTCCTGTTTGTAACTTAAGTAACTGAAACCAGAGCCTGAAAAATCGCAAATATGTGTACTATGCCACCGGTAATAGAATATAGAAACCTCTAAATTTACACAACAAAAACTATCTTACGATTTAAAAGTTGGTACATCAATGTTGCAAATATTTAATGGGATGGTTTTGAATTTTGATAGTTTCCGGGGTTAAACACATAATCTGACTAACAATCAAATTCTGCTATAAATATTTAATGAATTTATACAGAAAATATAATGCCATAAATGAAACCCCCACAAAAATCCTTACAGAAATTTCAAATATTCCAAATGGGATTTGTATGTTTCCTTCGTTTTGCAACACTTAGGCTTGTTATTTTTTTATAACAAATTTTTATAAAATTTTACTACACAATGCAGCGTTTATGATAATGTTTTCGCTGTAAAAACCTTTACATCATTAATTGTCGGAGAAAACACATGCATTTGGTATGCATATTTGTTGAAGGACAGGCCAATTTTTCCCTCATTATATGTTTTAAACAAATGTGAAACATGAGCGTATGGCAGGCAGATGTAAAAAACATACAAGTATGTACATGTGTGATGAGGTATGTAGAACATGGGATGTAATACTGAAAAAAGAACCTCCTCGGATACCAGCTATACCTACTTGTGTGTGTATTTATGGATGTGGTCGGAGGGTGTGACATTCATGACTTTCTTGCGACAATCATTAGGTTGTTACAAACGTCTGCCATTAGTGTTTGTGACACTTTCCTCACATTTGTACATTTTCTAGATGGCTGTTTCAACGCCCAATATCATACATGTATGTATACTAGTGGGTCTTTCATGATTTTACTGAAAGTATTGTTTTGTTTATATCACCGTACTTTTTTATACTTAGTTTTAATGTACACATAATCAGAATTTAGTAAAATAACATTACATGAAGGTTATTGTGCAAGAGCGATGGGTACAGTCTAAAAATACTACTGCTGCTTTTAAATTATTTTTGTCATTTTTAGGGCTAGCAATTATAGGAATAAACTTTTAAATGATATAATTCAAAATTAGTGACAGCTTGAGTCATTGCTGTTTGATATTAAAATGGGCCCAACCTTCAACCAACATACATGTCATTATGTAAACAGGAGTGGAGACAATTAAACCTGCCTGACAGCCGAGAAGTTGACACCAAGTAGGGAACCTGGACTGTACACTATACACAAACAATTTATAGGGAATTACAGCGACACAGCAGAACGCACACAATCTGCAGTGAAAACACAACACACACAAAACACACAGCAAACACAGACAGAACACACACAACGTACAGGGAAAACACTATACAGACAAAATGCACAGCAAACACAGACAACACACAGCAAACACAGACAACACACAGCAAACACAAACAACACACAGAGAAAACAAACAGCACAAAGCAAACACATACAACACACAGCAAACACATACCATTCACACACAGCAAACACATACAACACACAGCAAACACACATACAACTCACAAACAACATACAGCAAACACACAAACAACACACAGCAAACACATACAACACACAGCAAACACAGACAACACACAGCAAACACAAACAACACACAGAGAAAGCAAACAGCACAAAGCAAACACATACAACACACAGCAAACACAGACAACACACACAACACACAGCAAACACAGACAACACACAGCAAACACAAACAACACACAGAGAAAACAAACAGCACACAGCAAACACATACAGCAAACACGTACAATTCACACACAGCAAACACATACAACACACATACAACTCACAAACAACACACAGCAAACACACATACAACACACAGCAAACACATACAACTCACAAACAACACACAGACAACACAGCAAACACAAACAACACACAGAGAAAGCAAACAGCACACAGCAAACACATACAACACACAGCAAACACAGACAACACACAGCAAACACAAACAACACACAGAGAAAACAAACAGCACACAGCAAACACATACAACACACAGCAAACACATACAACACACAGAAAACACAAAGAAAGGTCATAATAAACATAGAACAGGAGGTAAAACATAGAATTTACAGACAAAACACATGTACTTTGTGAACTGAAAATAGAATGTGTAGAACAAAGTTTTAAATTGCTGACAAAACACAAAGAATGTGTTGACATTACACAGACATTCACAATTCTGAATACTAACAAAACAAAGAAACAGACAAAATACAGAATACAGACAAAACAGAGATGTAGCATGGACAAAATATAGACAAAAAACAGATGTAGCATGGAAAAAATAAAGACAAAACACAGCTGTAGCATGGACAAAAATATAGACAAAACACAGATGTAGCATAGACAATATACAGACAAAACATATGCAGCATGGACAATATACAGACAAAACACAGATGTAGCGTGGACAAAAATAGACAACACAGATGTATCATGGACAATATAGAGACAAAACACAGATGTAGCGTGGACAAAAATAGACAAAACAGATGTATCATAGACAATATACAGACAAAACACAGATGTATCATGGACAATATACAGACAAAACACAGGTGTAGCATGGACAAAAATAGACAACACAGATGTATCATGGACAATATAGAGACAAAACACAGATGTAGCGTGGACAAAAATAGACAACACAGATGTATCATGGACAATCTACAGACAAAACACAGATGTAGCATGGACAAAAATAGACCACACAGATGAATCATGGAAAATATACAGACAAAACACAGATGTAGCATAGACAATATACAGACAAAACATATGCAGCATGGACAATATACAGACAAAACATATGCAGCATGGACAATATACAGACAAAACATATGCAGCATGGACAATATACAGACAAAACATATGCAGCATGGACAATATACAGACAAAACATATGCAGCATGGACAAAAATATAGACAAAACACAGATGTATCATAGACAATATACAGACAAAACACAGATGTATCATGGACAATATAGTAGCATAGACAATATACAGACAAAACATATGCAGCATGGACAAAAATATAGACAAAACACAGAGGCAGTATGGACAAAAATAGACAACACAGATGTAGCTTGGACAAAAATAGACAACACAGATGTATCATGGACAATTTACAGACAAAACACAGATGTAGCGTGGACAAAAATAGACAAAACAGATGTATCATAGACAATATACAGACAAAACATATGCAGCATGGACAAAAATATAGACAAAACACAGAGGCAGTATGGACAAAAATAGACAACACAGATGTAGCTTGGACAAAAATAGACAACACAGATGTATCATGGACAATATACAGACAAAACACAGATGTAGCATGGACAAAAATAGACAACCCAGATGTATCATGGACAATATACAGACAAAACACAGATGCATGTAGCATGGACAGAACATGGAATAAACACAGATGCAACAGCTGTAGCATGGACAAAAATATAGACAAAACACAGATGTATCATAGACAATATACAGACAAAACACAGATGTATCATGGACAATATACAGACAAAACACAGATGCATGTAGCATGGACAGAACATGGAATAAACACAGATGCATGTAGCATGGACAGAACATGGAATACGTGCATGTATATTCAGTCACAGTCATCACTACATTGAAACCTGGTACAAATGAATCTCATGCCAGTAAAACTACCTTTTTGTTCCCTCTCATCTTTTGGTTTTATTGTTTTCCCACTAAAAGTCAGCAGCAATGTCCACTTTGTTGTATATTTGTTATAACTATTTCTCTGTCCCATTAATACTCGAGACTTTTTCACTTCCACTCAGCCATTGATTTGAGATACAGACTTTAAAAATAACTTCAGGGTTTAAAAACCTGAGGCATGACTTGATGTACATAACAGTCTTTATTTACCTGTGTGTAAATATTAAACTCGTGACGATGGTTTTAAAGTTTTACATCTCTTGAGTTAATTTTCAAATACAGCATACAAGCTGTGTGAAAATCAGTACTAGTATAGCTTATACTTAAACATTAACCTACAGTTATGGTTATCAATTGTAATCTATCATCATGAGCTGACTACCTTCTGTATATATTTTATATTGAAAAAATGGACCGTTTACTGAAGTTTTGACTGTGTGTGCTCTTCAGTCAGAATACTTATTGATCTCATGGTTATGTTTGTTAGGTAACAGAAGAATCAGTTTTCATTGAGGTCTCAAAGGAGGTTTACAAGTCAATGGGTGTACTGTTTGCATCCATGACAGAATTTAACTATATTTCTGTAAAACAGGAAACTTTCGTTAGGTCAAATACTGGCCCTTTGACAGTAAAATCTGTAATTGCCAAAAATTAATTTCACCCTATATATGTGGTAATATTCGCTATCATAATAGATTTGCCCTCAGTCAGGGCTCAGCAATAAGGGGAGACTTGTGAAATCTACAGCTGGACTAGTGGTTCTATGATAATTATCTGCTAGCCCAAAAATTGATATTAATTATCATGTTGAATAAACTGGGTTAGTGGGATTTGCACATGGACCAGTAAAATTGGAAACTACACTACACTTTACCAGTGCACAATACTTAACGTCAGATATTTGAATTCTATTGCTCTTAGCCAGATTTGAGGTGTTCAAATCATGGACGTCTTGTCAGGTATTCCTGTTTCCCTGTTTACATGACGAACTGTCAGCTGATTATAGTCAGTTACCTATGGTCAAATGTCCATTTACTGGTCAGAATGGCCATATAATCATTGTTGTACTGCTATAGGTATGTAAAGACTAATGGTATCTGTCACAGACACTACCTCCTCAGGGAATATTGACTAGTACTGTTTGTGTGGCTGGATCTGATAAGAAAGTCTGGGTCAGAAATTAATTCATAATAGGAAAATATATTACCATGTATATATACATACTTATACTCTACAAACAAGTCATCTGTGTCCACCACAATCCAAACGAAAGAACAAAATCAGTGTTTTAGTTTATACCTTAAATATAACTTCAAAGGTTCATATATATACATTTGCACATTTATTGACAATATACTGCTCAGTGGTATTTTATTCAGTACAGCTGAATAAACTATGAATAAATCAATTACCATAAATTATCCTGAAATAAACCCATGCCTGGTAATTAGCCCACTTATATATATATATATTGCAGTTTAGCAGAAATTTCAAACCTATGTACTCTTATTGTCCTGTAATACACCCCTTCCCTCCTTCTTTAAGTCTGACTATGTGTTTGCTTCCTGGCTTTTCAAGGAAAATTACAGTGTTAACAGTTATTCTTAGGTATGATATATTACAACATAAACTCATCAATGTCGTGTAACAATCTTAAACTGTTGACGATGACGACTGTGTCATGATTTACATGAAGAAGTTAAAGGTGCAGTGTTGGATTGATAAATCAATGTATGTCATAATACGTGATCACCGACATGTGATTTAAATATTGATAAGTCATGGTTGATTGGTTTGATGACATCTGACCTCACAGGCCATAGGGTCAGCAGGAGTGTTTCCTGTAGTGGTTAGAGGTCAATGGTGATGTTTTCACAGATAGTAAGTGGTCAGTCCAGGCATTACTTGTTGTATAGTGGACATCAACCATATCTTAAAAGATATCTTGTCCATTGTATAGTGGACATCAACCATATCTTAAAAGATATCTTGTCCAGTCGCCATGCTATATCGGCAAAATATCATGTCTGTTTTCCTGCTGGCAAGATGGTATCTGATTATAAAGATATTAACCTGTAAAACTATTGCAGATGTTCATAGTGTCATTGTGTTAAATGACTATTACCCTACATGTACACATTTGTTTACCTCTGTCCACACAATATTAGACTGAATGTCTGAGTTATTTGGATAGACGGAATTAGGTCGACCTTATTAGACTAACATCTATAGACTTTAAGATTTACATGAAGAAGTTCAAGGAAAAGTGTCTAATATGGCTTTGTTTGGATATTTTAGAGCAACACAGTATGGATAGTCGACCTGATAACTTCCAGGGATTCGAGGTGGATCACCTGGCCACATATACCTCCAGTTCAGGTAAGAATTGTCTAGGTATAGTGAATAGACAAAATAAGGTAACTTAAATTTCTAGATCAGGTAAGAATTCTCCAGGTATGGTGAATTGACATCAAATTACATGTTAATTAATATAAACTTTTAGATCAGGTAAGAACTCTACAGTTGTAGTGAATTGACATAGAACTTCAAGTTATGTAAACCTCTAGAGCAGGTAAGATTCTACAGGTATTATGAATTGGCATTGAATTACAGGAATTTTAAATATGAGCGTAACCTGCTGGAAATCATTCATGTAATATAAGGCATGTGTATAAATCATGTAAATATGTTTGTATGTAAAATAAACCTGAAAAATGTTTGTCACAATCATTTAAATCACTGTTCAGTTCTAAAATTCTATTTTGATCATTTATCATTTATCAGTTCTAAAATGCTTTATTATGATTAAGCATTTTTATGATGTTGAAAATGATCTTACAACAGTAATTGAATCAAGTGTGCAAGATTTTTCATCCAAGAATAAAAAAATATTATTTTATTGGTACAAGCAAGAAAACAAATCAGCTAAAACAATGGTTAACTGTTTAATTGAGTCAATGGCAAATATTCCTCACATGGAATTGTAGATCTGTACTGAAGGAGAAGTGTTAAGTATTAATTGATTGTTTCTGCCTGTCAGGTGCTATGACTGTGGAGGATGGTCTAAGGAAGCTGAAACACATGGAAAGCACAACCGGTATCTGGACAATGAGATGCCTGATGGTTGTGGAGGCCAGAGACATTGTCATCATAGACAAAGGCAATGGGGTAGGTGTCATGATAGATATAGGCAATGAGGTAGGTGTCACGCTAGATATAGGCAATGTGATAGGTGTCAACCAAGATATAGGCAATGGGGTAGGTATCATGATAGATATAGGCGATGGGGTAGGTGTCAACCTAGATATAGGCAATGGGGTAGGTGTTGTCATAGACAGGCAAAGGGGTAGGTGTCACCTTATATATAGGCAATATAGGCAAAGTTGTAGGTGTCGCCCTAGATATAGGCAATGGAGTAGGTGTCACCCTAGATATAGGCGATTGGTAAGGTGTCACCTTAGATATAGGCAATAAGGTAGGTGTCATGATAGATATAGGCAATGGGGTAGGTGTCAACCTAGATATAGACAATGGGGTAGGTGTTGTCATAGACAGGCAAAAGGGTAGGTGTCACCTTATAGGTGTCAGCCTAGATATAGGCAATGGAGTAGGTGTCATAGTAGAAATAGGCAATGAGGTAGGTATCACCCTAGATATAGGCAATGCGGAAGGTGTCGCCCTAGATATAGGCAATGGGGTAAGTGTCATGATAGATATAGGCGATTGGGTAGGTGTCACCCTAGATATAGGCGATGGGGTAAGTGTCACCCTAGATATAGGTGATTGGGTAGGTGTCACCCAAGATATAGGCAATGGAGTAGGTGTCACCCTAGATATAGGCAATGGAGTAGGTGTCACCCTAGATATAGCAATTGGGTAGGTGTCACCCTAGATATAGGCTATGGAGTAGGTGTCACTCTAGATATAGCAATTGGGTAGGTGTCACCCTAGATATAGGTAATGGAGTAGGTGTCACCCTAGATATAGGCAATGGGGTAGGTGTCACCCTAGATATAGGCAATCGAGTAGGTGTCACCCTAGATATAGGCAATGGGGTAGGTGTAGGCAATGGAGTAGGTGTAGGCAATGGAGTAGGTGTCACCCTAGATATAGGTAATGGAAAAGGTGTCACCCTAGATATAGGCGATGGGGTAGGTGTCATGATAGATATAGGCGATTGGGTAGGTGTCGCCCTATATATAGGCAATGGAATAGGTGCCACCCTAGATATAGGCAATGGAATAGGTGCCACCCTAGATATAGGCAATGGAATAGGTGCCACCCTAGATATAGGCAATGAGGAAGGTGTCGCCCTAGATATAGGCGATTGGGTAGGTGTCACCCTATATATAGGCAATGGAGTAGGTGCCACCCTAGATATAGGCGATTGGTGAGGTGTCATCATAGATATAGGCAATAAGGTAGGTGTCATCATAAATATAGGCATGGGTAAGGCGTTTTCAGACAAGCATTCGCTAGGTGTCACCTTAAATATAGGCAATGGGTTAGGTGTTTTCAGACAAGCAATGGATAGGTGTCATGTAAAAGAGCAATAGGAAAGAAATGGTGACAGAAGATTTAGGCAACAGGACAGATGTCATCATCAACAAGGAATATTGGGTATGAAAGGCAACAATTTATTGACAATGGCAGTTATGTAGAAAAGATGACTTAGACATTTTGTTTGGTGATGTTATCAAGGCAACAGAGCAAGTCTAGAAAGGACTTTTAGATATATCGTGGGTCCAATATATGATATCTGAAAGAAAGAAAAAATATCAGGTCAAGCATGAAATTAGGATTCAAAAGATCTTCTTTGTGAAAAAAGACACTGTCACCCTTTCAGAGAGTCTATGAAATGTATCAATTTGTGCTTCAAATTGTCAAATCTATACTTAATGTGTCCTACAAGAGTGCCAAATCATATGCAAATATTTTGTGTCATTTAATTGTCAGCTCACTAGTGCAAAGGAGGTAAGAATGTAGCTTTTCACATCTTAATTCTCCGAACACTGTATACTTTTTGAAACAAATAATCTTTTGAGAGTGAAACTTGGACATATTTCAAATGCACTATTTCACATGGCCCCTTTGGTACCAGGAGCTTGTTTTGTTGATGTCATATGACACCAGGGGTATACTGGAAGCTGAAAATGGGTGACGATTTTGAAATCATTTTTTAACGCTTTTTACACTAGATTTGAAGCATTTCATAGATTCTTCTGATATAAACAAGGACCAATAACTTCTTTACACAAAGTTTTTTGAAAAATCATAATAGCTTATAATTATTTTCTTTTTGTGCAGCTTTGCCTATCTTTATATCAGTATATGAATTAGGAGAAGCACTAACTGTCTGTGTAGATGAAATTGATTATAACAATGCTTTGCATGGGATTTAATTTGAAAGTACTGACCAGCACTAGGCAGGCAATGATGACACTTGTCATCTCTCAGTACTTTTCACTGGAGCTGGGACACCAATATAATTATAATACCTAATTAAACAAAGACTTTTGTGTTACTATTTGTATGCTGTGTGTTACTTATCTGGAAACAGGCACCAATTTAATTGTAAAATACAGTTATATTGCTGAGAAAGTCGTCTCCCTTGCAGTAGAAATTTTGCAAACTCCTATTCCGTCTTTGCGTATTGCAGAGTTATCTTCTCTTGGGAGCAGGTATTGATTGTTAGGTCATTTGTCTGTGTGAAAATTACGTCGTTTTCTCAAAAATTGATGATGTTACTCTCACAAACAAGTGACGTAACAATCACTCCCTGCTCCCAAGAGAAGATAACTCTGCAATACGCAAAGACGGAATACCTTGTTCATCTGAGATTTTTTTCATGGTTCAGGCAGTACCATTGCAACAGGATGTGACATCATATAGGTACTGTTAGTATTGGACGAAACATTTGTCAGGACTAACTTTTAAAATTTTACATTTTCAAACTTACAGTAGAGAGCAGATTATCAAACGCCTATTGTTCCAGTAAGCAATCATACAGATAACTGGTTGCACATTGCACATGTTAGAGAGTTAATTAAAAAAAATCATAAATATCCATTCATGATTTCACTGGAACCACACAAAATCTGGTAAACTATATACACTGAACATTGACTGTTACAGGGTATGACATACTATATTCTGGATATATTTTGTGATTTACCAATTCGCATAATTAACATCATGATGAAATCATGAAAATAACAATACATAAAAGAAAATTAAAAAAGTATTTGACTAACCAAAATTCTCTTTGTTTAGTCTTTTCTCCCTGAAAAGATGTAATTAACGGACCATCTACATTGTATGATAATTTTTTCCTAATATTTTGTTTAATTTTGCAGGAAGAACAGGAGAGGTTCCCACTATCATCTGTCTTGGAGCCGACTGCAGTGGTAGACGACAAGAACCACGAAGTCTACTCAAATCTCATCCTGTTCACAGTCAAGGAGGACCCGAGAAACAAATACTCACCTTCAGACATGCACATCTTCCAAAGCACAGAAAAAAGGGTGGGTGGGAGGAGCTATGTGAGGAACTCGCTGTGATGCGGAGGGTGGGATGTAAATTGGATATATTTAAAAAAAAAAATAAGACATGACTTGGATCCTGACTAGTTAAGGACTTAAGTGGTCAGATGAACTCGCATTTAAGATGCTACAGTATCAAGTTATTTTTTACATTGCAGAATATGGATTTTTCTTTTAAAATGATATTCAAAATTTAATAATCTACCAGAGATATTTGATAAAAATACGGTATCATATATTTGTGAGAGAATAACCACAAAGCATCTTCTATGTATGGAGAGAGAAAAAGTTGAATATTGTATTGATACAATTACTTTTGTTTTTCAATATTCTAACATCCTTTTTTTTTTAATCTAGGCCCCACATATTGTAGATGAAATACTAGCAGCTAAGGATGGTCGCCGACGTCCAAACCCTGGGTAAGATGCTAATTAGATTGATTTCTGGAGGAGACTGTCACTGGGGAACATATCAAAAGCAATCTGCAAGTTGTAGTATCACTTTTGCTTTAAATATCATTTGAAAGCTTTTAAACTTGCACTGTTAACTTTAAACTTTTAGCCTGTTGTGATATTAACATTATTTGCACTAAATATGAAATGTATTCGAAAACAATTAATGGATAAAAGAAAAACTATCGGACAAAAAACTTTTAAGATTCAGAATTAGATACCTGAAAAGTGTGAAAGCACTCTTATTATTTTAGTAAACAACTGTGAAAGGATTAAATTTGAAAAGTTAATTAGTGGACTACACTTCAACAGGACAGGCCCTACAGGGAAATTGATACTTCAGATATTGCTAGAGTCAAATACAAAACCTTTTTGTGGTAAAACAATGCACAAATCTCCTTATACTAGAGATAGGAAGTGATGAAAGTATCAGTATTGTCATCTTTGCAATATTTGTTCTGAAAGTTTCAAATTCAAATTCTGGTAGTTTATGCTGAAAAAAGTGATTGTTATCCGGCTGTTTGTAGAAAAACAATAATTTAGAATCACACTGCTTCCGTTCTTATATTTTAATGTGAATTCAAATATTACTTTTTTTTTATATAACAAAAATCTTTCCTTAGGTTAAGCTGTCAGTACTTAACAAAGTCATTTTGGATCTTGGTTTTTTTTGTACTGTCTCTCAACAGGAAGTTAAAAAAAAAAAAAAACTAATTTACAGTTTACTTCCTGTCCACTTGTGTCTTCAGAAGGTTCCCTTAAACTGGAATCTGGTGGCTTAACAGTCATAAACTTAATTATTTCTTGCTTGGACTACATCAAGTTTAAAGAAGTTTTATCATATAGTGTATAGATATGATGCCTGACACATCTGGAGAAAATACATAAACTAATTGGAAATATTCCCTTCAAAATGAAAGAGTCGACAACTTCTACCTTCAACATATCAGTATGTGAACTTTTCACTTGACTCTTGCCAAGTGCTGATACTGGAAGATGGGAAGTTCACTTAGCACCGATAACGAGTCAGTTAGTACTGATAATGGTATGTATCAATGATAGTATTGTTTTGATTTCAGTGCAAATGGCGTGCCACCAAGACCTCAGGGTCCAGCCCCTAACCCTCCCTATGGTATGTATTTATTATAAAGGTCGCCCACACCAGTCTTAGAAGATTTATTGCCTAATTTCGTTTGGATTTCTGTTTAAAATATAGTAGTCACTACCACAATATCAGTTTTTGATTAGTTTTACTTTTAACCTTTAGTTTTGTCTTGATTTGATTGGCTGATGATTTGAGCATGTGACTAATTATAGTATTTCCCAATTTTGTGATCTAAATCGTCAGGTTTGTTGTATGCATGTGATTTTGAATAGATAATACTGCATCAATGTTTTATCTGTATTTTATATTTCTTCATAAATTACTGTGTTTTCCTGAACTGTATTACCTCATTATTTAAAAAAAACTTCTAGATGGCTAACAATAGTTATGCATCAATTGATTAGAAAAATTATACTTGAAGGGTACTAACTTGTTTAGTTCTTGTAATTTTAGTAAGAAATAGTTTAGTTATACCTACACATGTGAATGAAATGAACCAAACTTTCACACACCATTCAAATTGAATGCCTGTTTATTTGATTGTCCTAATGAGTTGTTGATAAGAAAATTACTTTTGCTCTAGGAGTATTTCACAAATTTTAAAAGTGAATCGGAAGTATTACCAACCTATATCTCGCACGACGTTGGCTCTGCTATTTCCATTTGTCTGATGAAGCTCACACAATGTTGGCTCTGCTATTTCCATTTGTCTGATGAAGGTGACAGAGCATATATTGTACCAAATTTAAAGTCTAAAGAAACATCTCAATATGAACTGTATACAATACCTACTTACCACCCCAAAGAAAATATTTTGAATTTTTCAAGTAACATCTGATACATTGTTTATAATTACCGAAATGTATCAGTTAAGTTAACCCTCTGGTGCCGTTGACTGAAGAGTTTGGTTCATGTTTACAGCCTGATCTAACTCTTGTAGAAGTTTTATCTTAGAGTTACTCACCTCTTAATAACATTTTTTCAAGGCGGGAGTCGTTGGATTGGTAAAAACATGGGCAAGTCTTACTTTAGCTATTCCCCCGCGGGTAGGTCCTACTCTAGCGGCGGTCAGCAGTATTCTGCCCGTGGGAGTAACATAGGTACGGGCTCCAGCCAAAGGTCACTAAACCACCTTTCAACTGGTGCCATGCACAGATGTGATCAATGGAGTCGAATTAATGCTTGGGATTTTTTTTTAAATTACTTCTGTAAATTGTTTAATGAAGTTGTGTAGTATACTATTATAAATTGCTTTTCTAATTTCATATATACTATCTATAATATTTTCTGTCAGGGACACCCAAAGTTAATCTGCTGAAAATAATAGTTCAGACTTATTTTTGTTGTAAGACAAAAAAAGACAATAGTCTTGTTTGAATATTTTAAGGAAGTTTTATTGTTTTCATAAAGATTTTAATTAAGCTGTTGAAAGAATTTTTTTTTTCCCCATTAAAATTTTGCCTTCTATACTTGACCCTTGGTCACTCTGCTGTTAATTGGCTGGTCAGTTTGAATGTGGTGATGACCACTGTGAACAAGCTAGATAGCATGTGTGGGATTATACAGGGTCCTGTATCACATATATGCATCATACATGAATATTCATATATATATATAAGACCATCAATATTCATGAGTCTTATTGAATATTCATAAGCAAAGATAATCATTGGGTATTCGTTTGTGCTAATGAATTTTCCTACCTTTATCAACATCAATATTCAGTAGTGCTAATTCACATATTATTTTTTAATTGATTACTGACAATTAACAATATTTACATAAACATTAGTGAAGAGTTCTTCGCCTTCTTGATAAAACCTAAAGGGTGTCTGAGCATGATCCAAACTTTACTCATAACCGTGATCTCGGGTTAGTGGTATGTCTGTAGTTTGTAATAATTTTGTTTTGATCTTCTTAGTTTAGAAGATGCATATTTAAACTATATACATCTATCCAGTGTTTTGTCTTTTAAACATATACAAGTTCAGGTATAAACACAACATGTAGAAATGATGGAATTAATATTTTGATATAAGCCAAATGTTTCCGATATTGTGTGATTTTTCAAAGCTTTCCTATCTTCCCTGATTTTTAAGCGTCTTATCCTTTTTTCTGGAATTTTAGAATCAAATATGCAAAATAGTTTATACTGTAAAGTGTAATGCAATGCACAGCAACATCTGTTCTCATATATGTTATCACATATTTGCTAATGGTAGAATTTGCTGTTGAAAAATGAATGATTAAATGGAAAAAAAATCACGTTATCAATGTATTGTATGTAGATGTTGTTAACTGTACTTGTGGTAAGATAACGCTCAGTATCTAGAGCCTACCCTTATGTCGTATAACCATTTTGTACAACCCTAACGTTTGCTGTATGATGGTATCGGTATATCGTATCCAGCATGTTACATATTACAACTGACTTTAACAATACTGTCATTTTTCATTCATCGATTAAATTATTCTGATGAATCATAAAATTCTTAAATTCATTCTTAGAAGTATAATTCTTTAATTTGACAATTTGCAATATGGACAAATCTTTTACCACTTTATATAAGTTTCCTTTGTTTATAGTTTGTGCCTTTGTTTATAGTTTGTATCTTTCTTACATGAATTTTTTCTCTACTAGTTATTTCTCCTATTTCACAAATGGTGTTAGTATAATTGATGTAAATATTTCAAAATTGTGAGCATGCTGTGCAATGATGTTTTCATTTTGAGTTGTGTATGTTGAAGCCAGCTGACAGGCATCGTGTATGATGTGTTTTCGTAAATAAGTTGGCGATTAATGACGATATGCCTGTTTTAGACCCTCCTCAGTCTCAACAAGTCGGCAACAACTATCAGTCCTCTTCCAAGACTTGGGTTGACCAAGATTTCCACAATGCCACCCTACCCGATTACGGTGGGAGTAGCACTGTGGCTAACTATGCGAGTTCCAGTGAGTCCACAAATTGTCGTCTCAAGGGGCATGTAGAGTGTGGCATGTTCAAGTGTACTCAGTGGAATCGACCACTAAAAGTGTTAAAGGCATGATTAACGGATGTTCAAGGTCTTTGGGATGTTTGATGGAACTGTGTGTCCAGTAGTGGGTGTGTCAATTTTGTGTGTCCAGCATGTCATAGGCATTTTCAGGCTTGGTATGCCTAAAGGTAATTAGGCTACTTCATGAATATGTTCAGCTTGTTTGTTGAATCGGATCATTGTCGCGCTGTTTATTACACCAAAGGAAGAGGTATGCAATTTGCTTGTGTTGTCTGTAGCTGGTACAGGGCTGTCACATACATGTCTAACGGATGTCTCGAGTGCTGTAATTACAGAAGAGGAGTGCATGTATTGATTATCAATTTTGAAAGGTCAAACAACTGTGTTTGGCATAACTGTTTAAATATTGCATGTACAATAGACATGTGATTTAACTCCAGGTCTGTTAGTGACCAGTGCATGCATATTTAGGAAGCAGACTGAAATACTATTGTTCATGATCAATTGTCTGTGTCCGGATCACCTTGATGTTTGTGATCCTGTAGATGCTTGTTTTGTGTCTGGATCACCTTTATGTTTGTAATCACATAGATGTTTTTGTTCTGTGTCTGGGTCACCATGATGTTTGTATTGAAAGCCAGTGGTATGGGCCATGTAAGGAAATAACAAATGTATACATGTGAAGCTCATCTTGTACAGATACAACTTGGAAATTCGTTTGCATGTTGTCATAGCTTGACAAAGGACCAGTTGTTCTTGAAATTTTGTGACACGTTTAATACGTACATTGCTTGTGTATAAGATAAAACTTTGTTATTGCATGTTGTACTATTTTTAACTAGACCTTGATTTAATGTTTTTTGTCTAGTAACATTATTGAGTTAGGACAGTTACAGATAATTTAAAATGTGAACTAAACAAGATAACAAAATTTCAAAAAAAAAAAAAAAGGTAAAAAAAAAAAGGAATGTGAAGTTCATCTTTCATACATTTGAATAGTTTCTGTTAATTTGAAATCCTCCAGATCGAATTGATCATGACGAATCAATCGCGCTTCCGCTGTCTTTACTTCCTTAACATTAGTCATGGTTATAATGACATTTAAATATGATCATAAAATTTAGCTTTTCCAACTTTACATAAAAGTTTTACGAATGTACGAAATTCTTCATTTTCTTTATTGATGACACTTATTGCACATATAAAACTTTTTTTTTCATGTTGATTTCATCTTTGAGATTTGTATAATTTTACTAGCATTAGTTGTGTTTGATGAGTTTAGTCATCATTGTCAATCTGTGTCTAGTTTTGTCAATCTGTGTCTAGTTAGGAACGCAATGCATTTTAGTAGTGTGGTATATAGTTGCTTAGTGATTGACATACCACATATGACCTAATAAATGCCCGTCCATTATAAGCAACCCTATCTTTTTTTCTAACCTGATTGTTCCTTAGCATATGTTCCTTAGCATAACTAAGAATGCAAAATGTGTCCCAAATTTTTTTATGGTTCTGCAATTACCGTAAATTTCCCAAATTGTCCCAGGGCATTATTTGGTCGAGTATGGTATGCAGTTATTGTCATTTATTGTAATTTTCTTATGTGTACTACATAAAGCTTGTGGTAAAACTTTCAGTTTTTGCTCCAAGAACAGATTACCATTACACAGGTTTACTTTTTGTGCAATGTCATTACTTATTGAATGTTACTTATTGAAACTCCCTTGGAAAGGGAAGCAACAACTTCAAACTTTAAATGCAGTAGCAAACATTTCACAAGCACATTCCCTTCTTTATAAAAATCATGTATAGATCTTCAAAGGGATATACTGCCCCAGTGTTGGCTCTATCGTCAGAATTTATCAAATGATAAATATATCAAAATGTGTACCTCTCAATACATAAGCTCTGTACATCTTGTATTGTATTAAATACTGTTTTACACAATCACATTCTTTTCAGGAAAATCAGTGGCCCTAATTTGTGTGTAAATGTTTATCATTTAATCGTAGTTGCATACATTGTTGTATATGTATATCTGTACTGTGGTAACCTGTATTTACGTATGTTTACCTGTTACAGGTGTGACAACAACATATGTATATATCTGTACTGTGTTTACCTGTATTTACCTGTTACAGGTGTGAGTCAGAGGCCAGGCCTGGGCCAGTCGATGAACCCACGTGCATCCTTCTTGCCAAACATGGACGACTCCGGACAGAATGAGGTGCTGGAGCGAGATGTGGTATGTTGTATCTACAGCTAATAACTTGCTGGGTCAGTTCATCGTCAAAGGTCAATTCATCGTCAAAGGTCACTTGTGTACTTGCTGTGCTTATCCTGCTGTAAGCAAAGGGGGCCAAAACATATTCACTGTTTTAAAATAGGGAGTTGTGCTTTTTACTGGACGATGAAATAGCTTTTGTTGACATTTCTACTGAACTGCAATATATCTGGGTGGGCTTATTACCAGGCATGGACTTTTTATGTGGTAATTACAGCATCTGAAGATATCAAGAGAGTTTGTTTTCATTATCTGTCTAATGTTGGGGAAAGCAATCCTGAATTTTAGTTAATATAAGTCGTTCATCTTTCAATTGCTGTCAATTTGTGAAAAAATACCTAAATTAAAATCATTCTTAAAGTTGCATGAACCAGTAGCAGTTTCTTCCTCACAACTACAGTTTCGTCATTTGGTTGTCTTGGTTTTGTTTTGGTAGCAATTACTGAATTGCTGTTTTGATGACATTGAGAGATTCGTCTCAAGACTCCAAGCAGCAGCTGAGTCGTACAAAGAACTGGAAAGACGCAAGAGAGAACGTAATGCCAGAAGACACAAAACACGTGGAGGAGGTACGAATCAAGTTTTTTTGCTGAGATAATTGGCAGGTTCTGTATTCATGTAAAATTGATCAATGTTTTTGAAAGTGAACAATGCCTAACAAATGATTTGGATCAGCTGTCATCAAACACTGATCAGCTGTCTGAAGAAATCTTATCTGAAAATGCTTCATACAGAGCTTACTTAATTTTACGTTCTTGTTTTAGAGGGATTACTGAATATGAAAGCCAGACCCCCTCCAGCGGAGGACTTTGTTGACATTTTCCAGAAATTCAAATATGCTTTCAATCTGTTGGTAAGTTATTGATTGAGAGCTCTGAATTATATGTTTTCATGCCTATTTACTGTTTACAGTAACTTGGTTAACCAGGGGACATAACTCAACTTTCTCTTGATATATGATATTGTATAACCAGTGGTATAACTCACTTATTGATGTTATGACAGGCCAAATTGAAGGCACATATCCACGACCCTAATGCACCGGAGCTGGTCCACTTCTTGTTCACACCCCTCAGTCTGATCTTTGAGGCAAGTCGTGACCCGATACATGGCGGGGCTGATCTAGCAAATCATGCCCGCTTCCCTCTCCTCGCTCCAGAGTCGAAACAACTCCTTCTGAATTGTCTGACCTCAAAAGAACTGGAATTATGGCAGGCCCTTGGCCATCACTGGACAACAAACAGGTGAGTTATCTGCCCTTGCCCAGTTGGGTGTTTTTTTTGCCCCAATTACGTACATTGTCTGGTATATGTTTAAAATACTGGAATGTTGGTTTGTTTTCCACCTCTGGACATTGAAAAGGTTGACAATCGACCATTTGTGATTTAGGTAAAAGATTATTCATGGCTATATAGATGCCCTTCGTGAGTTAGTTAAAATTTATTTCTGATTCATTATTTTAAGTTCAACTTTGACCCATTGACCTATTTTGACACATGTGTTTGGTACCACAGGTGTCTCAGGGATTGAGTATAATATGATGTCTGTTTAACGTAGAATTGCACATTTGATTATGACCTTAGGGATGAGTTTAGCGGACCAGTAGAACAGTACAACCCCCGATTCTTCAACGGCTGGACACCTGCCCCACAGGTAACCTCGGACCACAATCGGATGATGATGGAGGCTGCGGTCAACAATATGGGACATCAGATTGAACGGAGGAACAGGGCTTACCAGGCACCTGAGGTAAGTTAACTCATTCACCCCTGAAATTTCATAATGAACTAGTCCAATTTTTGAATCGGAAAAGTTCAAATGTGTCTTCAGGGGTGAATTATTTTAAGTGCATTTCCTGTATAACCTATTGATATGCATTTGAGTCAATGAATCCTGTATTCTAAGGTGGGATATGCTGTTGGGTTTCTGCTGAGTTTTAGGGTCAGATGATATCACAAATTAAGGAATACTGGATTTTCTAAGCTCGGTTTTTCTTTTTCTTTTTTTGATTGTTTCACGATCCATCAACAGTTTTGGTCATTTAGGGCAAAACAACAGCAAAGCAACAAAATTAGACGCTCATAACAGAGAATACCTCGAACTGATGCTGAAAGGTTAAAATGTTGAAGAAATGTAAAAAAGGGAATGATTGCGGCCGTATAATTTGATACCCCTTTATACACAGATTAAATGAATGTTGGTAGTCATGTACCGATGATACAAGAACTGAATCAAACAAATGTTTCGTAGATATTACATAAAAATAGTATTTATTCATTTGTTTGAAGCATTCATCTAAACTCAGTCCCAAATTAGGTAAAGATTACCATGACAACGTCGTGCTGGGTTTAATCAAGAATAGTTGACTAGTTTCAACACATTAGATGTGTCATCATCAGAATGTTTTGATGGCGACATTAATTGATTAAAGCCGTTCAACCCAGCACGACGTTGTCATGTTTTATCTACTACTATGGCTGGCCTCTTGTATTCCTTGTGAAATCCATCTGCTGGGCATCACAGAACTCCACTGAACTCTTGGCACGGACGCTGGATCTCCCACTCCCGTATTTTCAGTCCCAAATTGTTAAATGCCTATTGGAGCAATACTGGAATCTCTTATTAGTCTTACCTGAATCCTGCAGCCCCATGTACTTGCTAATTTAGATACACAAAAGAAAATTGTCAAAGGGATTATGAATACCTGTTTGATATAAGGAAAACTAAACACTGGTTGATCGGAGGTACATAATCTATTGTCAGCTTTTAAGTGGTATAGAATAACAAATTTGACTTGAGTCATCAGAGATCGTGTATATTTCAGGTTGATGATTTAATGATGCCATACCCCCGGCCAGATGGGCGGAGTTTCCGACCGGTGGAGCGACCGGACGAGAGCGAGGATATGTATGCAAGGTCAACAAAGCCATCAACACAGCCTCCCCCAGGGGCCATCCCCAACACTAACGTAGCACAGTACCAGGAATATGTAGAGAAACACATTGATAGGTGTGGGGCACGTCTTTACTTCTCACACTAGTGACTAGCACTCAGATTGTCAGCTACACTTGTATGCAAATGATTTTTTTGTATCTAAACAGAGTCTTACATGTTTAATTATTCTCAGAAACCTCCTCTGCTAAGAAACATCTTGAAAACAAAACTCAAATAAATATTGTAAAATTTGCATTAATATATTCAGTATTAGTTTCATGGAGAATTTAGCGACTGGAAAGAGAATGTTAACCCATCCACCCCTGAAAACACATTTGAACTCTTCCGATTCAAAGATTGGAATAGTTCATTATGAAACTTCAGGGGTGAATGAGTTAAAGTTAATGTATTGAAAATCCTAAATACTTCCAAATTTGAATTTTTCAAAATGAATTTCAATTTAATGATTTTGACATGAAATTCATGTGAGATTTCTTCATGAAAAGTTTACAGAAACACAGATCCAGTGAATATTGTTTTATTGTTCTCTAAATAGACTAAAAGTTCTTCCTAGAGCTTTAGGGAACACTATTGTAGCCTATACGATCTTCTAAGTGCAAGGACATTAGTACAATGTTACGAACCTCCTCAACTTTACTTCTGGACCTGTCTAATTTTGTGTCAGCTGGATTATTGGAAAAATAGGATTGATTTTCATATCTGTAAATAACAGAGGTAGAGATCCTTTAGATATAAATTTACAAGTTTGAGAAAATCCTTGAGTAATCACAGTAAAAGAGTATCTCTGTAATTGTGTGTTATGATTTTGTTATATTGAAGAGATTTAGTTAATGAAATCCATTTATAGTTGAATAAGGAAACAAAGAACTTATCAGCATAAAAATTGAATATCTTATATGTTGCATGTTAAATAAATAGATCAGTGTTCAGCTGTAAGCGACTGAAAATTGCTTTGAGAAGTTTTATCAATGAACAAACTTTTGGCATTTTACCAGAAGAAACCTTGACGATTAAAGACATTTTACAAGTTTATACTGTTTAGATAAGGCATGCTAAATTTGACGGTCCAGCATTAATGTTGAGAGGAGTTGTGTGTAAAATAATTTATCGTTTATTCTGCAGTCGCACACATTTTATGCATTACTCAATTTCGGATAAGTCAATTTTAAAAATCGATAGTGTTAAAATATCTACTGACATTGTTCACATCTGACCTCTGGAATAGAAAAAGAAAAATGTATTGTATAAGACACCAAGTCCTATTCATGGAATTCATTTCAATAATAGTTTTTATCACTGACAAAGGCCTTGAAATTTTAGAATAAAATGTGTGTACATTGCCTCTCTGATGTTCCGCATTCATCAAACTTGCACAAAACATACAAAATGTAGTATTAAGCAATGTGATTGGTCAGAATGTTTCAGAATTTCATCCAATCACTGTGATTTCAGTGCAGTAAGTTTGCTGAGTGAGGGACTGCATGTTTTCTAAGTGACTTGTCCCCTCAAAATCTTCAAGGGAACAAACTGGTTATTTTGGAGGGACAGGCAAAGGTCTTGTTTATTTTTGTGAATGTTGTCACAGATGATGTACTTACATAGACTGGCATCAACACTTCTCTACGACAGAAAAAAACATTTATCTCTGAAAAAAAGATACAATGTATTAACTTCTAACTGGTCAATTCTTCTAAATAGATAAACATTCAGGTATAAACATCTGTTGAAAGTTAAAACCCTTCAATATGGAACAGTTGTGTTAAATATGTTTTTTGATTTTTTGTGTCAAAATAGGCCTAATAACGTTACTGATGATATGTGACAATATATTAATTTGACTAGAAATGTCATTTTAGACAGCAGCATGTTTTCTCTCTATAGCACACCTGTCTCATTTCATTGAAGGGTTTTGCTTGTCTCGATTACATGTACAATGAATATCAAATGTTACTATATGTTGAATGCCTAACGTATTCTATATCTTTGTTATTTGTATTGCATAATTATATGGTCTTCCTGCTGGTGACTTTTTTCACGGCCCATGTGTAGAAATCTTTGCAAGTTTGATAAATCTTTAAAAAGGATGTTGAAATCATTACTGTTTTGGACTAAAAATTTACAAATTTGAAAAAAAATAGTTTTAAATTCTGTCCTATTTGATATATACTGGTATATGCAATGATGATTTTGATTGCTAAATCATCTTATAGGTGTTTTTTAAAGCTGAAAATATAACTTTTTCGAGATTTAAGCTTGTGTGAGGTTTCCACCACTAGGTCCAATCTCATATTTCTGTGTCCTATACAATATATTGCTCTACATATCCTCATCCTCTACTCAGTTGGTGGCGTGTTTTGCAGTGTTACAAAATAATCTAACAATGGGTAACCTATTAAAGAAACTAATTGAAGTTTTTAACACAACATCTAAACAGAATTCATCTACTACAAACTTTTAACTTGGTTTTTTATTTGCATTTTAATTCTACATATTATCAACACTTTAACATTTACAGTGCATGAGATCTTTGTATTGGTGCGACCCCTCTATACACCAGAGGTTATGCTCACTTAAACTCTCTGAACCCCTGGAATATGTCATAGTAAAATTAAAGGCACACAGATAGCAAATTGATTGGTCCCGGGTATGAAAGCCCTGTCCAATCGCTACACTGGTACCTGTCCTTTGAGGATTACAGAAGAATGATACCCGACTTCAAAGCCAGTCAATTTTACAGTTACGCGTCCACAAGATTCTTTTTGTGTACAATCAAAGGATCAACCTAGTTTTCTGGAGTATACTGAATCCTCACTTTTGTTCTGACACATTCCAGGGGTACAGAGAACATAAATGAGTATAAACCCTGGAGTATTTGAGAAATATTGTTTCAAAAATATTTGGAATGAAATTTTGTTTTAAGGAAGATGGCAAGGTTTACGGATTACTAAGAGTTTGGGAGGATAAGAGGCTGCACTGTTTCTTTGATCTATGTGCTAAACTGGCTGACTTACAAAATTACATATTTGAGGTCCATTCCTAATATTTACACCAGTAAAAGAACATTTTGTTATTGAAATACATAACACTAATAAAAACAACTCTTACACTGAAGAAACACCTTCTGCAATTTGAAACTGAAGAAACAACAGGTTTTAGTAGAAATATGTCACAAATACCGTATATTTTTAAGAAAAAGGGCTGGGGCACCCTTATTAGGGCATGCACCTTTATTAGGTAAAATGCGGTATTTTCAAAGGGAAAATATGTGAAATGATGGATTAAAAGGAAACTGGTTTTTATGCTGCAGAAACTGTCTCTTTATGAAAATCAAAACATATTTGACAAATTTGTGAAATTCTCCAATCAATTTTCTGCTTAAATGTTAATTGAAGCCGCTAGTAACAGTTTTGATTTTGAAGTTTTTTTGCAAATATGAAATAATTCATGCAGAATTTTGACATACACACTTCAATTTCTTCGCAATTTAAAACTTTTGCTATTCGATACTGATTATGAAGTTGGCTTAAATTGATTCGCTTAATAATAAATTTTCTGCATTTCTCATAATTCTTTTGAAGATGTTTTACATTGTTTTAAGGCAACAGTAGCAGTTTGACTGTGATGCTATTAATTTGCTCTAAATTTCAATACTTATGTTGTTTAATTGTTGTTCACAGAAATAAAGGAATTCATCAATCATCGCGACCCAGTCCGACCCCAGCTAAACCAAAGAACAGACAAGAGGAAAATCTACAGTTCACTAAGGATCTTCAGAGTCAAAACAAAATGTAGGTCAATTACGCAGGAGCCAAGGTCAAAATTGAGCCAAAATGAAGTTGTAGTATAATCTACACAAACTGCACTTAAATCATCTAGGAACCTGACCTTGAAAATGTTTGCTATTCGAGGTATATAGAGACCAAGGTCAAAGTGTGGTTAACACATCTAGCAATGTCTGGTTCAACCGGTTTGTCTGTTTTTAAATGAAACATTTTCGGGTATAAATCCTGGCGGACCTACAAACATTTATGCATGCCTTGCAAGTCTTTGTCAAGGCTCGCCTTAAAGCAGCATCAGATTACTAGGTCCGACCTCATTTCATTAACGAACATCTCTGGTCCAACCGGTCCAGTCTTTTGGATCGCAATAAAAGAATGCGTGGCAGGTTATAAATAGGGCTGAAGCAATTCATTGTATCATATCATATAGTGATAACTTTCTTGTGTATCATAATGAATTCCCAACCTGTATCGCAATACACTAATAATACTGAAATTGTCAATCAATTTCTTATTAAACTGTAAAAAAAACCCACCACATTACTTGTTTGGAAATCCTTTAACAAAGGTGTCTTCCAATATGCAGTAAAACACCAATTTCTTAAAATCTTTTGAAAGGAATTTTTGACAGTATTTAATATTTAACACCATGGCGAAATTCTGTAAGACCCTTTGATCAGTTGCTATGAAGTTGACTTTTAAAGCAGCTTTGTGTATTACGATAAGTATCATTTTGTTAGCATGGTAACGTGATATATGTATTGTATTTTGAAGTATGTGTATTGTTTCAGCATTAGTTATAAGTCTAGTTATATATATTAGTTTGAAACAAAAGTAGGTGAACAAACAGATGTACAGGTGTTCTGTGACAGATACCACTTTTTCTTACTGACGAAATTTTAATCATTTGCTTTCCAGAATGTACGAAATTGTACATGAGCGAGAAGGCCGAAACGAGAAGGAAATAACCGTGCAGAAAGGAGACATTGTAGAGGTAAAGCACCAGAGTCTCACTACACTGATAGTACCATACGTATCCTGTAATAAGCCCATGCCTGCGTATAAGCCCACCCATGACTATTTCCGTAGCGTAAATGCCAATTTAATAAATGCTATTTCATTATCCTGTAATAAACCCACCTCCCTTATTGCAGATAATGTGTTAGCACCCAAGACTTATTGCATGATAATGAAGCTTTTGTTGTTGTTAGATAAGGTCAAGAAATAATGAATTTTACATTATATGCAGAAGAACCTATTTGCATGGTAACTCGGTAAGATAGCACCTTCATATATTGATATACAAAGAATATGTATATAACAAATCTTAAACAGTATCTTTCTCCATAATGAGTAAGTTTGAAATAACGAGGTTCCAATATGTCTGGTGATTTTGGGTGTACGCATGTCACCTGAAATTTCAATAAGAGTATAATTCTGCCTAAGCATTATCCGAGATATGCAGTAATGGAGGCACGATAGTCTAGTGGTAGGACGTCGTGCTCATGACCGAAGGTTGCGTGTTCGAATCACGGCATGGCACGGCACTGTGTTGTATCTTTGAGCAAGATACTTTACTCTGCTTGTTCCAGTCTACTCAGCTGTAAATGAGTATGTGGTTGGTTAGTGCTAGAATTGTTGAATGCTAGCTGTTAGCATCGAAATGGCAGCTCCGGCTGTATGCTCCCCAGAGAGTTGAGAAAGGTATTGGCTGGTTACAAAGGCCCTATAACCACGGATAAAAATTTGTGAACCACTTTGAGACGCCCTATGAACTAGGTTGTGATAAAGTGGTATATAAGAACCTCAAATTATTACACAAAAAAATGTTATATAATACAATTAATGTACTTGTGTTAGATTGTTTTTAGGCTAAACAAACACCTGTTATTGGTTACAGGTAATAGACAGCAGTCGTAATTGGTGGAAGGTTAGAAATTACCTCGGTGATCAGGGATATGCCCCCTACACAATAATGAAGGAATATACCCCCCCCTCAAACTTCGGAGCCGACCGGGTAAGTCTGCACCTCAACTTTGACCTCTAGACTGTAGGTCAGGACCCGAAATTTCACACGTAACATGTCTGAGTTCCCTAACGGTCACTGCCCCTCAGGTCACATGACCTGATCGTAACAACTCAACAGTAATGGCACCTGGACCCGTAAGCATGTACTTCTTCTGTTCTCTGTCAAAAACTAGCTTTCTCCTAAAATCTGTCTTTATCATTGCAAACCAGCATTCTGGAAACATAGCACTCCTGAAATCGAGCCTTAAGACTAGATAATTTTGTAAAACCTATATCAGCTGATAAGATATTTAAAAAAGACTTACACACTAGGTATGGAATATAAAGTCGTTTCAAAATAACAAAGTGTTGATGTGGAGGTGTTTTATCGAAATGAACAATGCATCATTGCTGTAAAATTAGATTAAGTTCATTTTATCAAAAAGCTTGGTTTTAAAATGTCAGAAGAAGTAAGTCTTTTTCTGTGATGAGTGAATTTCGTAGAATTTTTCATACAAGTCCTGAGCATAATTTATTTTTCTATTTTGATGTCCGTTTAAATGGAAGTGGGTGTCAATAGGAAAATTTATATGATAGATACCTTTTAATACATAGGTCGTATATTGTCATAAGAATCTTCATTATGAAAACACAACCTTGTTGTACTCCTCCGAGCTGTAAGCATTGCTCCTGCGATAAACCTCAAGCAAAATTAATTTGTGCCATTAAACAAATTCTGATTAACAAATTCTTTGAATATACTTGTTTAAGCTGAAATTTTATATAGGCATTTTTATTGCACTGGCTTTTGAGCGCATAAGTCTTAATTATGCGATGCTATAATTTGATTTGCAGCAGCAACATTATCGACTTTGGAAAAACATTTCTGTGCTAATTAATAAAATTGTGCTAAATTACAGTTTGCCTGCTGTTGAAACATCGGTGGGATTTTCAGAATAGAATTTTCAGTTTATAATCAGATTCTGTAGATTATATGAAAGCAAAAATGGAGTTTATAGGGAATTCAGGGTTATAGTTCACATGTGTTTTATCATGGTATATCTATCTTTGGGCATTTCTGCATTAATTATTGCTGTAGAAGTATTATTTGTAAACAGAGGAACTACATAATGCAAGGAAGGTCCAGTGCTTTTACAATTAGGAGAATGTACACCCTCTCACCCCTCTACCAGCACAATGGTTCAGTCTGACCTTTTGTTCAGGTCAGTCCATTGTGGACTAAATGGGGTGAAATGGTGAAATTCTCAATATGATTTTCTGTGTGCATTGTAAATGGATAGTATTAACCTAGAATTGGGACCTTCTTAGCTGTACCCTTAAAAACCTAAAACATTAGATCCAAACATTCTAGTACATGAATTCTTTTTCAGAGTGATTATGTTCAGCATATACCAATGATGTTCTAGTTACAACAAACATTTTTTTGAAAAACTGCATAATTATTTGTGTTTTATAGAATATCGTATTGTTAATGTTTTGCAATGTTTCATTTTTGACTACTGCTTATTAAAAAATAAGTTACTAGTTTGCAAATTTTGACTTTCTTTGCTTTTCTAGTTTTTCATTGAAAATGGCCGTCGCTTGTTTGATGATGTAACAAGGGACCTATGCTGTGATTAACTGTGTAATGATTGTAAAATGTCAAGCTTTATTTTTGTCGTCAAGGCAACATGTTACTTGTGTTCCCTCTAGGGTACCCGCTACAATAGGCAACACTAGCCCTGCCCTGTACAGGGTCAAACCGACCTGCCCAACCGTAAGATCGTCATGGAAACATAGCATTCGCATAACCTCTCACCTGCCATTGCCTTATGTAACACCTGTTGCTACAGCAACAGCCGCCCAGCCTGCTTTTTATAGGAGTACAACATATATGTTATCACACCTTAAAAATGAAATTAATCTTCTACTGTCTCTTCTGTATTTGGCGTGAATCTATGTTTTGATGATTCAAAATGACCTTGTAATCATTCAGTACAGTTTTTGTTTTGATACATGCAGCTGTTTTAGTCCTTCATGTTAAAGAAAAGTGGGATAAATGATGTTGCATGTCTAACAGTTATTTTGATGCTACCATATTAGCATTGTGCAAAATCTGATAATCCACAGATATCAATATGGTTATTGTTTGTAAAATCTGATAATCCACAGATATCAATATGGTTATTTCAAGCACGTAAAAAATCAAAATTCACTATTAGGCTAGAATAGCTGCAAGAACAAGACATGATTTGTGAAGTTTGGTAAGGTTTATATTTGCATTAGTCAAAACGTTGATTCGTGAATGATATAGGGAAGGCGGTAGTTACATTCTTGTACCATGACTAACCCATCCAGTTGGTATCTCAACCTGGTTGTTATACATATAGACTTTCTTATGTTTTTTATTCAGTTTATTCACTTACCATATTTGGTTGCACCGTTTTCTTCTTCCTGTCCTAAAGATGTGTTGATCTAAATTCAGCCTTTTTTGTGGTCTGTTATAGACCCTTTTCTGTTTTCATTTCTACCTTATACTTCTGTTTATCTTGATCATCTGTTAATAAATTCTTTGTTTTCCTTGTTGTTTGGTCCATTTGCTAAATTGGAAAAAAAACTTTGCGATAAAACCCTCTCCAGCTTAATCTTGAGAAGGATTGTTGAATAGATAGGCATTTGCAGTCACAACATCTTTGCAAAGTATTTGTTGGTATCCTGGAATATAATACGAGCACTGCTAATGATCATAACTACTGGTTATTGTCATGACTACTGGTTATTGTCATGGCTACTGGTTATTGTCATGATGACTGGTTATTATCATGATTATTGGTTATTATCATGACTAGTACTAATGGTTATTGTCATGAGTTTTGGTTTTATTATGAGTTCTGGTTATAATCATGATCGGTTTGATATGTGTCAATGAAGATCCTGATTCATATGAACAATCACCACTGTGATTAATTTGTACCACAATCATGATTATTTCAGTATGTCAGTCATGATTGATGTAGTCTCATCGCTATGGTGATTTTCAAACCTTTACAGTACCTCCTCCCCAGAACACTACAAGTCGCTCCAAACTGACCGGTGGTCAGAATTGTCTGACTTGGGATGAAGTAGCAAGTAGGTGTTGGAGCAGGTCCATTGTATAAAACCAAACCTATCTAGTGGTCAGTTGGTGGGCAGTCAGTGGTCATTGGGTCTGGCCAATGTGTCATAGCTATACATGCATATTAGGCCTTGATTTCCTTGAAACAAAGTTCAGATTTAATGTTTCTTTAAGATCATTTTACCATACATACAATGGATTTTTTTTGTAATTGAATTAATTTCAAATTTGACATGTAATTTATTATTTTCATTTTAAAATTATTTTGATTTCTTGAGGTTTGTCAAGACCTTTATAAAATGGAAACTAATTAATTACTTATTTCTCTAGTTCTACGAACATGTTTCACTTGTTAGTTATTTTTGTTAAACATTTATGAAATTTCATCGATGAAAGTGTAATGACAATATATATTTTAGAAATCAGGGCCTGATAACAGCTTCCATTTTGTGTGACAGAGGTTTATTCACAGTTATTATTTACGTAGTTATTTTTTTCCCATTATCAATATATATATTAACTTTATAAAAATGAACTTTTTTTTCATTCAAATAGCTTTTGCCTTAAAAAATTAGCATAGAAGATCTTTATGCTTCTCGGTCCATAATTAAGTTTTAGAAAGATGTGTTATGCTGACATTTGTAAAGATAATTTTTAACAACCTACATTTGGAATCGTTGAAATTGAAAGAGAAATAGATAACTTGGATAACATTTTGAACTGATGAGGAAATGGAGCAGTATGTGCTGTAACATTTTGGCCCTTACCTTGACACGCTGACTGTAAGGGAAGGGATTTAAATATGTCGGGATATGAATAGACTTATTATTTATGTGAAGTGGATGTATGTCTATATGAGTGTAGTTCTAGACGGTTTTATGATTAACATAATGTTATACATATAGATTCTAATATTTGTGGAAGGGATTAGGTCATCAAGAGTTGTCTTCTCTTAGTTTCTGTATGAACTGAAATTATAGAAGAGAAAACTGTAGTATTACATGACTTCTGTTAACAAGCATGATCTACTAACAAGTTGAGGTGTACTATAAAGCCTCGCACCAACTATATCAATTTACTAAACTTTATTATTTCAACTTCACCAAAGACAGCATTGGAGCTCTGTATTATATATTTATATAGATGTACACACACTTCTACATCTCTCCAGAAATCACAGTTTCTGTACTAACAACAGTTGTCTATGGATGGTTATGTGCTTGTGTTTGTGTGAAAGTCTTCAATGAGTAGAAAGCTAAATTTATGATAAATAAGATAAATAAACTGATCTTTGCCATAGAGAAAGGTCCATTTACATGGTATTTCCTCTCACACATGTATTTGTACCCTTCTGGATCTTTACCAGAAGTCTGGCTGTCGTGTTAATTGTAATAAAAATTCTCCGAAACATTTTTAGCTCACCTGGCTCCCATGCCGCAGCGTCCGGCGTCCGGCGTCCGGCGTCCGGCGTCCGTCAACTTTTTCCTTTAAAACGCTACTAGTCCTGAACGGCTCAAAGGACTCAAAGGTCCTGAACGGCTCAAAGGATTTTGACCAAATTTGGTCTGGAGCATCATTGGCCAAAGGGTTCTCAGTTTTGGTTAAAAGGAAGGTATGGTCCCCCTGGGGGCAGAGGGGCGGGGCCAAATAGGGGGAAAATAGGTAAATCTTTAAAAATCTTCTTCTTCTCAACCAATAGAAGGATTTTGACCCAATTTGTCCTAGAGCATCTCTGGACAAAGGAGACTCAAGTTTGTATAAACGGAGGGTGTGGCCCCTCTGGGGGCGGAGGGGCGGGGCCCAATAGGGGAAATAGAGGGTTTTTTTTCTCCTGCTATACAAGTGAAGGGATTTAAAGCAAATGCAGTCTGAAGCATGATTTGGGACAAAAGAATCAATTTTGTATAAACTGAGGTGTGTGGGCCCCCTTCTAGGGGCAGATGGGTGAGGCCCATTAGGGGAAATAGAGGAAAACATCAAAGATCCTTCTCCTTTTGTACCGATGAAGGGATTTTGACCAAATTTGGTCTGGAGTATCATTAGCCAAAGGGTTCTCAGTTTTGGTTAAAAGGAGGGTATGGTCCCTCTGGGGGCAGAGGGGCGGGGCCAAAAAGGGGGAAAATAGGTAAATCTTTAAAAATCTTCTTCTTCTCAACCAATAGAAGGATTTTGACCCAATTTGTCCTAGAGCATCTTTGGACAAAGGAGACTCAAGTTTGTATAAACGGAGGGTGTGGCCCCTCTGGG